TATATATATATATATATATATATATATTGCACAATCAGGTACAACGGTAAAGTTGCTTCTTTACTATTCTTACGATCTACAAGACCAGGGTTAGAGTCATGAAAACAACTTTAAGGTTGCGTACATTGATCCTCCCTATACCTGAGAGCCTCATGCACTACGTACAAACCTTTAGGATGAAAAACTTATCAATAAGAAACTAACCAACAAAGTCTTGTATGGACAAGGATATGATAGTCAAATTTAGACTTCAAACCATGGCCTAATTTGGAAGAAAAAAGTAGCCAGAAAAAGAAAAATATAATCACTAACTAATTTACACAGAGTAGAAAATGACAAAGGTCATGTTGTTAGAAAGAAAAAGCGACACTTCCACCATTTTCTATATCCATAGTTTGATAAGATCAGAGTATCTGACATGCATCAGAAGTGAATTGACCAGGTGGAAACATGAATCCAGGCAACACAGCCCTCAAATGTAAGAACACTAGTTTGTTGGGACAAAATGATTTCCACTTCCACCATTCTTCACACCTACAGGTTGATAGGGTCACAGTAACTGAAATGCTGATAGGCATTAGAAATGAATTCACCAGTGAGCACATGAGTCGAGAGTCGAGACAACACCGCCTTAAAGTGTTAAGTGTAAGTTTACACGAATATATCCCATTATTTTACATGGATTAATAGTTTATGTTATTTTAGAAGAAAGAACATGGTGCTTCCACCGTTATTCTCAAGGAAAAAAAGTTCGATAAAGTCAAGCATGAAGGGCATACCGTATGATAACAAAAGATACAATTAAATTAATAGCTACTGCATAATCAATACATCATAACTAATCACATGGTGTTTCTACCTCTCTACCTTTTCTTACAAAAAGACGTGATGATATGTATGCATGCAGCACAGAATCTGACATTCACAAAAGAAATACACAGAAATTTAATATCATTTAAATTGAACTAAGTGGCATACATCTCAAGAAGATATCACACAAAATAAACATACAGTTCTTATATGTAAATATGTCCCATAAACCGCAATGAAAAAATAATGTGCAAAATGGCCATAGAACGTATTCTTGTAAAGGAAAACAGTACCAGGTTGGTTTCATTGCTTTTTACTGCTGGACATATCTCATTAAGATCAAAAGAGTAGATCCTGGGACACAAATCTGAATTATGATTTGAAAGTTCACCACTCTCTTTTTCACCGGCTGCCTTGTATAAAAAATTCTGTGTCTTGCAGATATCATCAGGGCCAGAGGTGCTGGGCCCAGATGATTCATTTCCCCTCGAAAATTCTTTTGGTGGATACTTCTGGGAATCATGTTTCTGAAAGGTAGATAATTCACCAGTATGAGAAGGCGATAATTCTTGAACAGTGGGATCTGTGATTATCGTTGATTCACAGAGCTCCTGCAAATCAGTATGAGGCTTTAAGGAGTCTGATTTCCTTCCTCTGAAGATACCCCAAAGAAAAAATAACATGTTCCAACCTAAAAAGAATACAGAACATATTGTAAATGAGATAATATCTCTAAGATATGCTTAGAATGCATAGATCAATACTGTTTGGAAATTTTGTGAAAAAGAAAACCAAAAGCCTTTCACTTGCACGTAAGCAGAAAATTTATGCTTATAAGCATATTATTTCTTACGTTGCGAACTCTCGGGTAGCATACTTGAAGGAAATATAAGAAGCTCCACCTCGCTGATGTTCCCTTTGAGGGCTAAATCATTTTCTATTGCAGCTTCCAACACCTTCCGGTAAGATCTTTCGTAACTGTAAGATAAACAAGAACAAGTCAGTTTATGATACATAATTCATCTCAAAAGTAATATGAATTTCACCGCGACCCCAAACCTCTCAGAATCTTTAGCAAAAAAATATAGTGCAATATTAAATTCTTTAGGATTGATTTCCTGAAACTGCAACGGCCACAAGCTAACCCGAGGAACTTCCTCTAATTGGATTTTGCATGGAAACTGGCACACTACTTCATGCACTTTCGGTGATGCAAACATTGACAAGTGGGCTTGAATTCCATCAACAATTTCGGTAATTGTTCCAATTTTTAAAATCTCAAAAGCACCCCTGCAAATCAAATAGATATATGTTATATTTCAACAGCTAAAAAGAAACAGAGAAAAAAGAATTTACTCTTAAATACACAATTTAAATTAAGAAGTTTTTGAGTAAACTATCATACTGCCATATGCATTCCTGCTCTGGGATTATAACTGATCTAGAGATAGTCGCAAGTAGAGAAGGGTGATGAGGCAAAGACTGAGTCGACGGTTTCTCATTCAACTCATCAAAATTTGTAGGATTGACATTCAAGTCCCCTACTCCAGAATTACATAAAGATTTGGTTGAATGTTCTGTTTGCCCCATGTTAGCTGCACTATCTGTTTTGCTATAGTCGGTGTCAGAGCTTCTCAGGATCACTTTTCCATCAGGTGCTCCTTCTAAAGGAAAGTTCTTCTGACAAATTGAACTCGTCAAAGAACTTCTGGAAGAACCTTCAGAATTTACATGGTTGCTTAACAATCTACACTCAGACTGATCAACTATTCTACTTTTGTTGTTCCTTGACATTGCAGCTTTGGCCACATCTTTCCACCTATTTCTCTTGCTAGTTCCATCGATTAAACTCACATCAGCAGAAGGCTTTGCAGAATATAAAGTAAGCTTGTCAATTTGGTGGCACTGAGTAGCATAGCTTGCTTTTGTTAATTTACCAGAACATAATGCACTCTTGCCTCCTGAAATTGTGAGCCTTGATGTGTTGGGGATACTCTTCGTTTTATCTTTCGAATGAGCTTGATGCCAAGACTCTGCAAAAGAAGACACACTGCTTGTAACTCCACCGGCATCATTATATGATCTATTGTTAGCACCAGAATTTGCGTGAACAGGTTCCTCATTGACAAATTTACCCCTCTTTCGATTCTCAGAATCAAAGATCCCATAACTTTTACATTTCAATGATGGCTGCCGCTGCTTCACTTCTTTATACTCTAACAAGGCGATAAAAAAAAATTCAGTACCAAAAATGTAAAAAATATAATCATTAGCCAATTAAATATTGTCAAATATTAAAGGCCTCTAACAGAAGGACTGTTTACCTGCATCATTTTCTCTATTCAATCCTTTGCTAGTTCCAAGGATGCTAGGCTCAAGGTTCTTACTTGAGTTTCTGTTAAGTAGTGCAACCTTCATACCCAGATCTGGCAGAGACTTCCTCCCTACGTGTGGACTGGCAAATGGGTGATCAAGAACAAAGGAGCTCTTTCTTTCTGTTACATTTCTTTCTTTCTTTGGTTTAAGACTTCCAGGGTCCTCATCCTGTGGTGACTTGATTGATTGATAATTTTCAGATGATTGGAAGTTGTGATGGCCTGAGCTATTATTGTTGAATGAAGCAGATTTGTTGATAGTTTCCACCAAGGATTGATATTGTGTGTTTCTTGGTGTAGACTCTTTAGCTAGATTTTGGTGAACACCTTCAGCCAAATGCTCAACTTTTGGTTCCACATTCTTCTTGAAAGAAACTTGTTTTGAGGCAGACCCACCTCAAAGAAATAACCAACACATGTAAATATTAGTTTTCCAAAAATAAGCAAGAGACATCTGTGATAATCTAAATAATATGAAACATGAAATCTTACCCTTGGAAGGAAAAAGTTTTTCTTTAACAATTGAAGAGCTATAGCCAAGGGAAGGCGAGTGAGAAGAGGTCCAGGAACTCTTTGCATACTGACTTCCAAGTGATGAAGCCATATTGGTTCGCTTTACTTCAGCTGTATGAAAGTTTTTAGATGAATTTTCATGAGCGAAGGCACTACATATTTTAGGACTTGCTGCTTTCAAAGCTTCATCAGCCGTTTCAGAAACCTTCTTGACCATTGGTGAAGCTAGATCCATTTGGTATGTGTGTCTTTTACGAGTTCCCATTGGATTTTGCATTTCTTTACTGGACCCACATGCTTCAGGGTCAGTTGGCTTGGTGTTCAAGTTTGCTAAATTCTCAGGGTTCATGGACTTCCCAATATTCTCGCCTTTCTTATTCAAGCATTGTACATTTAATTTTCCAGAAAATGTCTCAGTTTTATCCAGCCTTTTCATCTCAAGTTCCTCCTTCATCCAACATTCTTCACATAGCCAATCTCCTTCAGGAATTTTGTCCAACATAATCCTCATGCAGTAACTAAGAAACAATTGCTTAGTATGTGTGAGAAATCCAAATTACGTAACATACAATTAAGAATATAGCATTGAGAACAAAATATACTTACGTATGTTCTGCACCATCGATGCATCTACTGCAAGTAGCAAGAAGCTCCTCCCGGCCAGTGTCTCCACATATATCACATACTTTTACCTATATCACAGCACACAAATGTATAGCCAGCATAAATGAGAAAATGACTAGAGACCACAAGAGATACAGATATGATGCTAGACCAACGGAATCAAATATCAATTTTGCATATGGATAGAAGACACAACAGGAACGTAATTATTGAAACCACATAACAAAGCCATTAATGAAATGGATTGTCAGCACAAAAGCTAACTAGATCTTTGCTAAACAACAATGAAGACAAGAAATTGGCATCAACTTCAAAGTTTTAGCAATAGTCCTTATGACTGCAAGTTGCATAGAAGCAAATGTTGCATCTTCCTGAATAACTTGGTGTTTAACTTGAAGAAAAATCACAGAAGCACTTACATCATACAACATGCAATCTGATTCAGAAACTTGACCATGAAGAAGTGACTGCTGTGGTTTTCCAGACTCATGCAAATTGCATTCAGAACTGCCGAAGCCAGAAGCAGATTCAAAGCATCCATCTTCATTCATGAATTTTCCAGAAGATATGTCACGTCTGATCCGAATTGCTTTGCTAGCTTCATTGTTTGGGAGCATAATAGTCTTTGGCGCATGATCACTACCAGCAGCTGTCAGTCCTTGATATGAGGATTCATCGTCAACTATCAAGCGCTTACAAGGTTCTTCCAGAACTTGGCATGGTGGATATGCTTCCATATCTTTGGAGTCAGCATTATGACTAGAAATATGCTCACTTTGAGAATGGAAATCTATATTTGGTCGTGGAGAAATATTCTTTCTTGTGGAAGCCTCTGTAAGGTCAGACTTGCTATGAAGGCCTAGACTGTCACTCTTCTTACAAAATGATTCTCCAGGGAATGTACTGAGCTTCCCTGAGTTACCACAGCCTGCATCCATAAAACCACCATCATATTCGCAAGTAGCTTCAACTTGATTCAGCACTTCAGTTTCTTTGGCATCTAATTTACATGTTGATACTGAACTACATGGTGTATCTCTCATGTCCAGTTTCAAATTATCATTTATAAGTAACGGATTGGAATCTCGGCCTCCAGTAATGCATGAATCGTTATTCCCATGACTTCCTGGCACATACTGCTCTCTAGCTGATGCACCATTTTCAAAATCAGGTCTGCAAAAGCTGCATGATGTTCCATTACCAAGACTAGCAGTGCCATTTCGAAGAACCTTATCTTCCTTGACTGCTTCAACAGTTGAAACCTTTAGGGGTATATCAATGTCTTCATAAGTATCATATGCAGTAGACTTTCTTACTGTTTTGCTATCTGCATTTTCAGAATATGAATCATGACTTGAACTTCCACTCAACAAATTGCTTGTTTCACTAGCTGCAATTTGCAGATCATTACAAGATCCACATTTGGCACCAACAAAAGAACGACTATCTGCTTCTTTCCTTTCAAAGATATTATCAGAGGATCCACAATCACCATCTGACTCCATTGCTGCGGCAATCCGATGCATACAAGAGGAGCAAGTAGCAGAGCAAACATTACATGTACCAGATTTCACATTCATATCACCTACAAATATAATTTTGTTTTGGTCTGTAAATTTGCCCTATCACACACAACATGAAAGCCATCGGTCACAAATATTATACCAAAAAAGTAGATGGATAAAGGCAAATGAACCTTATAAGGTTAGAAATTGAAAGATAATTGACACGTTACAGGAATTAGCATTGAGAATTTCCGCAGACAACAAAAGATCAAGTGCATGGATAAGATATGGGAGCAACTCAAAGTTTGCAGTTTAATTAGGCACAAATTTCATTGAACAGAAACTATCCAAATATAATTCTGGTTCAGGCAGATGGAGTCCTAGTTATTTCCATGATTCATTTGATAAATAAGATAAGCAATTCTATTTCAAGCATGCTTTGAGAGAACCAAAAGTCAAGCACTTGAGACTTTGTTTAGATTGTTTCTTTGATGCAACTATCTCGATTTATCATGTTTAAATTTATCATCTCATTTTTGGATACTGTTTCAATTTGAGAAGTCAAATATAAACAGTGTTCGTAACCAGAAAGATTTTAATTTCATTTATGCCACTGTTCTAGTTCATTTATTTTTGCAATTTCTGCCACCCTGTTACTTCTTAATAATTAATACAACCTGCTCATTTGGGTCATCTTACTTGACATCATATGAGCTAAAAGGACAGATGCAGTGCATATAAATGTAGTCTAAGTGCCTTAAGCAACATGACACATGTGCCAAAGATCTATGGACAATAATATCTCAAACACTTTCGGAAAATGCAACTTTAGCATGACTGTTTAATCCATATTAAAGAACATAAACAAAATGGGCAGAAAAAGTAGAGTTTGAGGTGTAAGGGCTGCTAAATATGGCTTGATCCTAATTGCTCAACACAGAGTTTCATCATTAAGCACATTACAGAAAAAATGTGACTCAGCACAACTGCATGACAATTAAACACTCAAAAAATGCATTAAATTAAGTGAAAGAAATAATCTTCATGGAAATACCTACCTACCTTTATGCCTTTCCCTAACTTCAAAATCTTGCATCACCTTTTTCAAATCCCTCGACTTCCACTCCAAAATATAATGAATGCTGTACTTGATATACTTTAACATTATTTGATATCTATAATTACTATAGAACAAAAGACCAAAACTAACTTGAGACATAATTTTCAGCCACTATGTTACCCTATTTTAGTGTCAGATAAGTTAGGATACCCTTCAAACGTGAAGTTTTATCTTGCTTCTAAGTTTTCCTACCTCATAATTACTTTAGGTACTCAAATCTATTATATTCCTTTTTTTCAATCTTGATTTCTGGGAAATATGTTCTTCCAAAAAGTTCCCAACAGAGTAATTCAACTAACTGTAACTCCAAGCGTTAGCCAGAATCAATGAGCATCATGATGAGGAGAAGAAATATGACAAATAATTCATGGCCAAGAAAAAAAAAGAAAGTACTACTTGGAAGTAAAACCAAAGAGGGGCATATTTTCAGTGCAAACAGGGAAATTTCTTTTATCTGGGGAAGGTTCTTACCAAAACCATCACCTGACGTTCACTATCTGACTCGTCCAAAGATCCCTGGCCCCGTGAACTGCTTTGGAACACTGATGCCATGTAAAAACGAAATCAGAGTGCGCATCAGCCTTCCACGTCAAAGATACAGTAGCAAGAGCAAAGAGAACATAGCGAAACATAGCAAGAAATATAAAAAATATACACCAGCCGATCATGAATCCAAAATTACAATACAATAACTTCATATAGCAAACTAATTTAGCATAAATGCGAAGATGCACGAGCAAAACGAAAAAGAAAACAGTGCACGCCGTGATGAAATGAAGAGCAAAGCCCTGAATTTAAAAAATAAAAAAAATCAGAATTTGCCAGATCATATTAAACAAAAGCAGCATTTTATAAAACATCTTTCTCTAAGACAACGTAATAAATTTTGAATATTTTCATCAATAAAATCCAGTCGTAGTCGCGAGAACTAAGTAGTCATCATAACCAAAATGAAGAAGAGGAAAAAAGAACATCAGCAGCGCACACCAAAGACGATCTTTTGATTCTACGCACAACAATAAAATGTCTAATCTGCAAGGCGCACTCACCAACACAATAATATCAATTTCATCTAATAAAGGAGACGTCCTTACATGCCTACGGCTCAGCGATGGTCCCATCGAGACCGTACAGCTCCATCAGGCTCCGCTCCGACCATTTCCTCATCCTAGTACCTCTGATCGGGCTACCATCAAGGACGCCGTTTGCGCTCCACCACCGGGACGAGGGTGTCAAGCCGAACAAGTCCAAGAGATATAGAGATCCGGACGAGGAACAAGGAAGCAAGGGACCGCAATCGGATCGCCGCTGGGGCTCTCTTGGGCCGTCCCGGTGTGCCTCAACGCGCTTCGAACTCCATTCGATCTAAGCCGAGGGTTTTTTCTCGTGGAATCGATGGCGGATGGACCAACAGGAAACGAACAGGAGAAGAAGAGAGGGGGAGAAGGGAAGGCGAAAGAGAGCGAAACAGGCACAGGAGTGAGGGCCCGTCTGTCATCTAAATTTAGAATACAAAACCAAAAGTGTTTTTCGTATTTAAAATCCCCGAGATACTTTCGCACGTACGAGCGAGCGCGCGGTGCCTCACACGTGTGCGCACGCCGTCAACCGACCCGATGATTACACGTGGAAGGCGCGGATGTAAGTGGACCGCGTGGGGCCGTGGCGATGGGGCCCATTTGCATATCCGAGCCGTCCGGGTGTGGGGGAGCCTTCGACGAGAACAGACGGTACAGATCGGTCTTGCGGGGAGTTGTGGGTCCGACTCCGGGAATGGAACGGGTAGAAGAAAGAGTGACGCAAATGGGTATGAAAATTATTCTCTTTTTCAGGCTGAGCGCATCACGTGCGCTCTCGAAGCTTCCGCCAGGGCGATACGTGGCGGACGGTGGACACGGTGTCGGAGCAGAACGCTGGGCCGTGTACGGACGCACCGGAGGATCAGGGCCGCCCAATCACCGCGGTGTCGTGTGCGTGTGGGGAGAGACATGCAATACGTGATCGATCCATCTCACCGTTGGGTGGGGGGTGAGGCAAGCATAGCCAAGTAAACCAGTTATGAGTTCCGCTGTTGTCTTGTCTTTGAGCAGCCAAGTCAAATACGATGTCGGAATGGTAATATCATTCCAAACCCGGATACAAGTTTGAACGAAAACATCACCGTTGACCACAAAGTTGACGTGAGAAAACATAGAGCAAGGCAGCCCACACATGATTCCCCATCGATCTAACATTGTTTCTCCAACCGGCATGCTATGGACAACGATGCACAACCACCACCCAAAGTCGGGCGTCATTCATGCGTCTGCATCGGATACCGGATGCGAGGAACATGTGAAGATAAAGAGGGAGAGAAGCTAAAGAGACGGCACGCACTCGTGAACATCGTGTGTGCAGCAGGATGCGGTGTCTGCAGTTTATTGTTCCTGTTCGATGCTCAACAAGGTCGATAAAAAGCATGCAAATGGTTGATGAATTCAAGTTATTCTTCGACTTGTCTCGTTATTATTTCCGTGTCAAGTTTTTCTTCGAACGAATCGAAGTTGATCGTCAAATTCTGCCTGGCACTGATATGGCCAACTTCTTCTTGTTTCATTCACGGTCAGATTACTGGAATATTTTGATAAGTTGATTAGCTTAATTAGTGACCTAAAGAACAAGCACTAAGATTTTGTTAATCCCAACTTCTGGCTACTTTAATCTCAAACCAAATGCACTAACAAAAAAAAGAAACCATTGTCTCCAAGAAACAGCGACAAAATCTTTCCAACACGGACGCATTTAGCGACTTATTTGAATGGCCGATCGTCACTTTTGCTTGTATGTTTCTTGAACGTCGCTGTAAGCTTCAGACTATTTGGCTTGCTAGTCGCGGCGACAACGACATGTTTTGGCGAAGGAGAGGAGGAGGAAGCAGTAAATAAAGGAGATGCATGGCTTCGCTGCTATGGCACTCACTGTGAGACAGCGTGTGTCAGTCTCCCGAAATGCTTGAATCGTGAACACGCAGACAGGACATCGCCACTGTTGTGTGTTGTCTTTATGCAAGGGGTAGATTGTCACTCGTTTGCCAGCAATCAAACGGCAACATGTCATAGACTTTTGCTTCCATTTTATGTGGCATAAAATTCTGGTTGAACAGTGTTGTTTGGGAAGGCTTTTCTTGGGAGTGATGCGGCGCTATCTGCTCATGCGTTTCGCTTTCGTCGCTTCATGCTTTGTGATCGAAGACTCTTTGCCTGTTTTCGCTTCAGCCGCAGCACTTTCTCTCCCTTCACGTGGCAAGCGAGACTTTGTGCTCACTGGAGATCGAGAGTCCGACGTGCTTTTGGCACCTAACAGGCCTTTCTTTTCAACACATTCCACTGGTCATCAGCTGAAGCGAGAGAAATCACAGAGTTATATAGTTCTTTTGAGTTTTTGTGAAAAGAAAATATTTCTTTCCCCATTTAAAATTCCCAATTAACATTAGGAGATCGAGATTCTCATGAAATATTTTTTTCGACTATATCAATAATAAAAGATTCATCATAACATACTAATAAAAGTCGATCGTTGTTTATCGATAACTTTTTCTTCAAACATAAAAAAGAAATTTATTGGAAACTCCATTCAACATTGATCTTTGTACAAATGGATATCAAATCAGAGGTCTGATGCAATTGTCATAGATACATAAAAGCTATATGTGTAACCAATTGTTCGTCCATATATAATTTACGTGATCAAGAATTAAAACAGCAAATTCTTAAATCTCCACAATTCATGAAAAGACGATCATGTCAAAATGGGCCCATATTACTACGTTGAATTGGGCCGGGCTCGATAAAGATGTTGGTTTATAGATGGGCCGGCAGACCGCTAAGACCGGGCTGGGATCGGATCAACATTCAATGTTGTTGGAAGAAGGTGTTTGGATTCTGGTACCAAAAGCTAAGAGGAGGGGAAGCACCGACCATGAAATAAATACTCTGTGCGATTGCGGAGCTTAAGCTGCAATTTTCTATGGATGTAATTGTCTTTCCCACACCAATAAAGAATAATTATTCCCGTCTTCCCGCACTAGGTGGCTGCTTCCCCTTGGTGTGCTTGGTTGGTGCGGCGAGGGTTCGGTGGTAGCGATGTCCCCGAGAAAAGAAGGCAAACATTTCTGGGTTTGCAGGCCGTTGCGCGACCCATATCCTTGAATGTCTCTCTCGTCGTCTCGTTTTGGTTGGGCGACACTCTTTTGATCTGATTCCAGGTATGTCTCGCCTCTCGCAGTTGTGTTTCGCGTTTTGTTTCTTGACGGATTTGGTGGAAAAATGAGTCATTTTTTTGTCTTTCCATGTAAAAGCGTCAGCTTCTTTCACCTTTCAAAATGTGAGCTCAGTGACGAGGATCTCTTGTTTGCTGTTCAGTGGGATCGGTCTTTTTTCTCGAAAAGATGATATTTTTCAGGTGAAAATTCGTAAAAGTTTGCTCTTCAGTGGGATCGGTCTTTGTTTCTCTAAAAGCTGAGATTTTTTGAATGAAAATTCGTACGAGTTCGTTCTTCGGTGGATCGGTCTTTGTTTCTCTAAAAGCTGAGATTTTTTGGGTGAAAATTCGTAAAAGTTCTGTATATTCATACCCATTTCCCTTTCGCGTTCTGTTTTTTGACGGATTTGGTGCCAACATGAGTCCTTTTTTTGTCTTTCCATGAGAAAGCGTCAGTTTCTTTCACCTTTTCAAATGTGAGCTCAGTGACGAGAATTTCCTGTTTGCTCTTCGGTGGGATCGTGAAATTTCTGTACATTCATGCACATTTTCCGGTTGAAGGTTCTTATGTAGCTTTAATTTCGGTGAGGAACTGAAGGAAGCGGTTCATCTTCCACGATAGGGGTTTTTCTTTTTGTGGTTGATTTAGTCATCTAAGATTCAGCTAAAAGTACATCAACAAAAGGAATTGGGGTTTAGGGTTTTGGAAAATGGAAGCTAGGGAGCTTCCAAGAGTGAGCTCGTTGCAGCCTCCAACTGTGGTGGTGGGTCCTAGCTCTTATGGAGCTGGGGGATCGACGATTGATCCCGTGGTGGCACCGAATACAGCTGGAATGACGCAGGGCATGCGCCTTTCCTTCACTCCCATGGCTTCTTCGGCACCTAAGCCAGTGGATACGACTGGTTCTTTGTACCAAGGAGATGATGTCTCGGGAATGCGGCAAACCAGTGTATTTAACATGGGTGAGCTAACGAAGAAGAAGAGAGGAAGACCAAGAAAATATGGACCTGATGGTAGCATGTCTTTGGCGCTAACACCTCCATCTTCTGCTTTGGGATTCTCAAGCAATCCAATGTCTGATCCAGCAGCTAAGCACCGAGGCCGTCCTCCAGGGTCGGGGAAAAAGCAACAACTTGATGCATTGGGTAATTGTCGCATCACTTTCTTCTAGTTGTGAAGATTACTCTACATGTGACATATAATTGCTATGTGTAGATGTCTTAACTTCTAAACCGGCAATGAAAAGGTAGGCTTCCTTAATTTCCTTGTTCATTACATAACTGCATTACCATATAAATTCTGAGCTGTTAAAGTACATTTAACATCCAGTTTGTCCAAATGTTCAAATATATTCATCTAGTATTAGTCCCATCTAATCTGCTTCTATGCTTCTCAGTTGAAGTTATATGTGCATCGAGAACTTTTAAACTTTGAATTATGGTTAACGTTTTTCGTTTTTAGCCATTATACAGCATTGTCCTATTTTTTGCTTTCAAATAGACTTAGATGATAAATTTAGTTATTGTCTGTCTATTCATATAATTTGCATAAGTTATTCCTTTATGAAGTTAATGCCTAGATGTTAAGTTTTTGGGTCTAATTTTTTAGTATAACTGTACACAAACTGCAACTCTTGAACATCTAATTGTGTTTCCTTTTATTCCATATATCTTTTTGTCTACATATTCAATTTCCAAAGATTTAGATATCATTTTCTTTACAGCATTTAGTATTTCAATGCTTCGTATAAGTTTCTAAAATCATTACTCATGGTTAACCAGGTGCCCCAGGGATTGGTTTTACTCCTCATATTATCACTGTCAAAGTTGGAGAGGCAAGTACTTGAGATTTAAATTTACCCTCTCTTTTTTCTACTTCTAAAGTCTAGATAACTTTGACAATAGTCTTGGTAATTCTTCTTTCTTGTTAAATTGGTTCTTGCATTTTCACGATCTGACTGTTGTCACCCAGCAACAAAGATTATAAACTTGTTACACGCTTTCATGCTTCATATTCTTTCTTACCATTTCGATATACTTGGGAGTTCATATAAAAGAGTTGGTGTTATTAGAGTGATAAGTCAATAGAGTATAATTAGTTTAGGCAATTGTTTGCATTGGCAGGACATAGCTTCAAAAATTATGGCCTTCTCACAGCAAGGGTCTAGGACCGTCTGTGTGCTGTCAGCAAACGGTGCCATCTCTGATGTAACACTGCGGCAGCCGGCAATCTCTGGTGGAACAGTAAC